CAGTGTAACAGGGAAATTAAACGTGGATGTATCTGTCTTATAACAACTAACTAGGATTGCCTAAAAACTAATCAAGAGGAAGAATGTCTTGAACTCATTTGAATAGAACTGGCTATCCCTTATAAATCCGACTCATGGTCTATTCCAGCGAGTTATTTATAAATCTCTAGATACTTAATCGAATCCGGCTATGATTATTCTAGTTATTGATGCATTTATGTGTACATCTACCCTAAAACTTCACTGAGGTCAATACAGGGAATTTCAAATACCCTGGAACAAACTGGGTTACTGGAAGTAGTCAAATCTTAGCAACAATTAACATGCACTATTGGTTACAGTGGGTACGCATCACCATCAAACATCATAATATACGAAATCCAGTAGAGATATTATCTTAGAAGTATGCAATGAATTTGAAGGAAAAGAACATTAGTAGTTGAATAGGACCTACTGTGTACCTCGGCACATATATATATATATATATATATATATATATATATATATATATATATATAGCTGCTACCCTGACGTGATGGTCAGGCTTGCCTATCATGATGACCCAATCGAGCCATATTGGCTGGAACATATGTTCCTAAAGATTCTACCATGCCAGGCACGTCGAATGGAAAATGATCAGACCAAAAGCAGCTATTCAAGGTCAGAGGGCGGAGTCGTGTTGGTGAATGTAGACGAGTGTGACAGAAGTGTGTTTCCCTCGGACAACCAGCATCTGCAGCGATGCTGCCTTTGAAAGAAACACCTCCACGGTTGTGGGCAGTCAGGAAGTGAAATCAGCCCTCATACCCGTACCCGCACACGAGACATGTTAGTCATAATCAAATCCTCCCTACACCTAACATCTCAATCATCTTCACGAATAACCCTTCTAACATTATTTTATCCATCCGAGCCACTTATGCAAACGAATCTAGTTCATCAAACGTTATTCCTGGTCTGCTAATACCCCATTCTAAACTACATATGTCAGCTTTTAATATTCGAACTGTGTGTCGGAAAGGTCAACAGGCTTCCTTAGTTAGAACTCTGCAATCTAGTTCCATCAATTTAACTTGCGTCTTCGAAACACTCAGATAGAATCCGCGGAGGATCATTGATTCCATTTTACCACCTCGATTTACGCTTCGTGAATCTGGAAGCCACACTACTGCTTCCAGTGACTTTGCTGTTGTTGACAAAGTACTAAGTCCGAGGGCAGAACTAGCTCTCAGAATGGATCCAGGTAGATAGTCACTTGTGCGCTGTCCTACTTAACGGAACAAAAAAGAGGTGGAAAGATATAGACACACTCTATGTTGTCTCTGGCTACGCATCCACGGACTGCAGTTCAGATGAGGTTAAAGATGAGTTTTACAGGAAGCATTCTGACCAACATCAAACCTATCTGTTAGTGAAATTATCTCATAAAATGAGGGCCGTATCGTTCATTCTCCCACACATGATATTCGATCGATGTGCAGATCACCTCAAGAATCAGACTAATTAGCCTTCATCCGAACTTCCGTTATTCACGAATTCCAAACAACTTAAATGACAAATAGATCTAACTCTTCCGACTCTTAATAAGGTAGAGAGAGCTATAGCAAAGCCGTAGCTGTCCGATTCAGCCTATTATCTTGTAAGTCAGATCATGTTTAGCGGGCCTACGAAGTGCCAGTAAACCTATTCTTGTTTTATTTTATCACAGACATGCTCCTAGAAATAACCTTATCCTTGTCTGAATTTTCAGGAGTAGACCTTCTACTAGGTGGCTCGCTTATTGACTTAGAATATGACGATGATGTAGTCCTAATTGGTGAAGTTGCTGACAAAATGCAGTCTTCTGACCACCCTAAGCAACAATGCAAGCATGTTCGGGATGCGGTTCTCACCTTCGAAATGAAAAATGTTGCTTCAAGAATTGGTTGCATCGGCACCTGAATTAGTGATAGGGAGTGAAATAGTCGAGTGTGCAGATCACTTCACGTATCTGAGGAGCCTCATGAGTGCTGATGGCCTGGTGACTGACGAAATCTCAGCACGGACACAGAAGGCTCGATCGGCTTTTACCGTCTGCTGAAGAGTGTACTGCACAGCAGATCGCTCCGTACTTACATATCGATACGGAACACAGCCGGTGAGAGTAGAAGACATTCGTTGGTTGCTCGTCTTTCATCATAGGTGTCCAGGATGCAGGAGCTATGTAAGGATGGCAGGTCTATAGATGAAGTATTGAAACTCCATCTGTTGAGGTGGTTGGGTCATGTGTTACGTATGCCTAAAAAAGAATAAAACGACGAGCTACAGGTTGTGGTGTTGGGGGTAGTTTGGAAGAAAGCTAGGGGTAGCCAAACCAAAACATGGTTCAGATCTATGAAGTTACCAAAAATTGGTCTGAACCATGTTGGTAGATGTAGACTACCTGATTGGAGTCCGCGAGATGATAGTGGCCGATAGCTGAAGGGTGTAAAAGACATGGTTTAAAATTTTTTGCTATGGTACAGGCGCATTCATTGTTTGTGTTCTCTCAAATCATAACATTCTGAATTTGTTATCACCTTTATCTTCCTCTTTCTTAAGTTATTTCACTGAAATACACTTCTTGCATATTATCTTTGAACCGTAATCTTTCCACTTACTGCTAATACTTCTACTACAATGGTACTTGAATTGACAACTGCATCTCAATGCTAATCTGGTACGTCAACTTGAACCGATGTACGTACGAACTGAGTTCTACGTTGAATCTGACTGGCTAATTAGAACTATCAAGTTTCACCAAGATGAACGAATGTATCGCTTTTTTAGTAACAGAGAAAAAGACACCATTTATGAATAACTACTGGACTGATATCTAGTTGACTGAATCTAAATCGGAGAATAATAAATGCTCTCACATGTAGTACAAATAAATCCTACAGTTTCATTATAATTAACCGACAACGATTAATCTACCTAAAAGTTGATGTGAGATACCTGATTGGTAGAATTAAAATCGCACTATGGAACAAAGAAACAAACACAATACTAGTTTATAACCAGTGAACAGACACTTTAAACATCTGTTCTTCAGAAGTCACTTTACGAATACGTAAGTGATACGATTCTTGACAGTGACATGAGTAGGTTCAAATCTCACAGAGTACGATTTCCGTCAAAACTACCGACACGCGTGTTAGATTAGCTCCAACTAGCTTGGAAACTAAGTCCCAAGTCTCCTGCCAATCGTCATTAGACAAGCAATATTACTAGCACTTCATGTTTGTAGGCAGTGAAATCCATAAACAAATTCCTTAGATGTGATCGAATCAAATTTGAAAAATGACATCAGACAAAATTGTTCAAAATACTACTAGCATAGAATTATATTTAATGTTCATATACAAACAATACATTTTCTGATAGACAGTTTTAATTTTTATTTCATTACTATACAAATATACCAAAACGATTGAGTAGGAACAAATTAACAATTTATAATTCATAAACCTATACCGAATGATGAATACGATACATGACCACATTTTCATCAGATTCTAAAGAATTCCTCTTCTAATCTCAATTTTTCGTCGAGGAAAAAGTAAATTCCAGTGGGGAAGGTAGTCAATGATAATAAATTTATGAGCGAATAATAGGGAAGATAAAGAATAAGAAACATAAAATTAACGAGTACAATTTATACTAGTCTCTCTCTCGTCTGAAAATATCAAACATGAACGAATCAAAAGTAAAGAGAGGTAAGATATGACTAAAATACTGAATAGAGAATGATGAGATAAATTGGAAATATGTTCAATATAAACACATACATAAACTAAAACATATAATTGTAAATCATTTACGATGATGATGATAATAATAATAATAGCCAAAAATAAAGTCATCGTTTGCTCTTTTTACGTTTACACAGTTCATCAGAGTATCATAAAATTGTTGAACTAAACAAAACCTGGTTGGTGATACTAGCATACTACTTAGTAGGAAGATGGTGATCACAGCTATTTTTCTAAGAATAATTGCTTTTCTTATTATGCCACTGAAATGTGACAGTTTGCCCGATTGTAAACAACAGTAATCAAAATGATAAACATTCTATCCGAGATACAGAAAAAAAGCCTCGTATAAAATCATGGTTAGGTTTACTAAATGGAAGTATACTTTAAGAACGTGACTAAAAGTGAAATAATTGTAATAAACCATTAATTAATGATATAATACAATACATATGAAAAGACTTAAATGCAATTTCAACATACATCGAGCCCTAAAAAGTAATCGGTTAATCAATCGATACTAATTAATAATACTTTACAGCACAAAACCTACGATGTAAGAAGATAATTTAATAAAGTTAGAGGATAAAGGGACTGTTTGCATAACATAAGCACGAATAAAGTATTTTACAAAAGCTAAAACAATGTATGCTGATTAGTCCCTGATGTTTATTCAACATTTTGATACACAATTTCACAGTACATTTATTTATTTACTTACTTACTTACTTACTGACACCTGTTACTCCATCGGTGCATAGGCCTCCGAACATCATTCTCCAATCTACTCTGTCTTGCGTCTTTATTTTCACTTCCATCAAGTCACTGTTCATTCTTTTCATGTCTGACCAGAGAATTTATAACGCCAAGAATTGGAAACAGATATGGAAAGAATGAACAGTGACTTGATGGAAGTGAAAATAAAGACGCAAGACAGAGTAGATTGGAGAATGATGTTCGGAGGCCTATGCACCGATGGAGTAACAGGTGTCAGTAAGTAAGTAAGTAAGTAAATAAATAAATGTACTGTGAAATTGTGTATCAAAGTGTTGAAAAAACATCAGGGACTAATCAATAAACATTGTTTTAGCTTTTGTAAAATACTTTATTCGTGCTTATGTTACACCAACGGCCAAAATATTTGCATGTGCAAACAAACGTATGGGCAGATGAAACCAGAGTTGAAATATAAAGAAAAAATCTGAAGTACATACAAGAAATTATTAATTACACAGAATCGCAGAAAGCAGTGGGTAGGTAAACAACTATAACAGTAATATCATCCCGATAATGTCTGGCTACAGAAGGTGGCATTGAAAAGTGTAGGGCGATTTGCTCGGCATTCATTTCTGTACCACCAAGTGCAGTTCGAATTAAACGACTAGCAGCAGTATCTCCAGGACCACAGGAAGACGGATTCTGAAATAAAATAGATTACAAACTAAAAGTTAGGAATTTATTTTTACAGTAAACAGTCAGTTATCAACACATATTTTACTGAGGAGCAACAAGGTTACTAGAGATCTAAAGCAAGCAAATATTATGATGTACTACTGTAGTGAACGAGAACACAGGTGGGGCAACCGGATTGCATTTAATGAAATTACAGAGTTACTCAGTAAAATTGGAAAACCATATCGTAAATCGTTAATTTGCAAAATATCAGTCCATCATATCAAACTGGACTGTTCCTGTTGCAAACAACATCAATCCATTGTCACTATTCATGCGTTTCATACAAATTCCATTGTGTTCTAACTCTTCCTTTCTTGATCTTCCCCCATCTTCTGCTGCCAGACATTACGTTGACACTCACGTCATATACTACATATAAGTAGCTCTCACCACACTACAACTTGCAGTCGAATTTATTCAACAGTGATAACAAAGCGCATCTTCGATTTCAAAAACCTTTGCGCCTTTTATATTAACAAAAGTGCTCTAGTGGCTTGAAATTCATAGCAGAGTTCTGAGGACAATGGGGTTGCTATTGATATTAATCCTGTTTATTGAAAAATACTAACACTGTTTGATCGACCAAATAGGAAAATATGCCGCAGGTTATAATCTAAAGAGAAAGGGTTGAATGTTGAACTAATTAGATAATCAACCAAAGTACTTTAACAAAGGTTTTAAATAAACAAACAGAATGAACCTTGAAGATTTAAAAAACAATCCCATTTTGTGCTTTTGTCACAAGTAAACTCAAATAACTAGCACTCGAAAACCTATAAACACATGAGGAAAATTAATTGCTCAATAACACTGTAATTGTACAAGTTCCAAAAAATAGAACACAAAAACTTACGCCTTTATAGTCATACCAATGTTGAGCAACCACATTCACAGCCTCTGTAGGTGAAATTGTATCCCACAGACCATCTGTCCCCAAGATCAAGAAGTGATCACAAAGAGGAATAAGAGGTTTCCAGAAAACTTGAGGTGTAGCAACTAAATATGGCGGACTATCATAGAAACGCGGGAAAATAGGATAATTAGGAGGGAGATGCAATGAGCGTGCGATGTTCTTCAATTCTTCTGTTGACCATTTGAAACGAATATCTCCAAACGCACGTAAAGGCATTAATTCACCTAAAAATGAAAGTTTGTGGAGCTATTTTCAGTTTGGTGTCGCAAACTACTTATAATAATTTAAGTAGTATAGTTCAACTCAACTTTACGTGAAATAAATGATATCAAGACAAAAAATAGAAAATACGCGATTATCACCATATGAGTTTACTTTAGTTCTTCGCTAGAACAAACACAGGATGTAGCCATTGTCCATTTAGAATGCTACGTGGTTCGAAGTTGAAAGAGAACAATTTACCTGGATTGATACATCCTTCATTAGAAAATAATTTCTTCAATAATTTTTGTTAAATCTGGAGTTCGAAAAAATGACCCTTTTCTGATAAAATAGTCAATCGGAAAACAAACACTTTCACTTATACAAGTAGTGCACACAGTAAATCGTAACTAGCTACAAATAAAACAATAAAACCATGGAGGAACCTCATTTTTTTACGCCCGTTACCGTATTCCCATTGATTAATAAGAAATCATATTTACAGAAACAGTTTAAGCATTCCGAAAGATAACAAAAAACTAATACTTTATATAAAATTACCACAATCCACTATATTTCTAGTTCCTCTCATGGAGAGATTCAATTACAAGTTTAACCTGAAAGATAAAGTTCATTATATTGTTTGCTATATTTTAGTCACAGATTCATTTATGTAGTGATTATTTCGTTAGAACTATTCTTTTCAGAGCTTGATTCATCATGGTTTGCAATCAAGTACCAAGAGACTAACATTAAGAATTGAACAATTATCATACTGGATCAGAATCTTTCCTATACTGTTCTGTACTGCATTCTAGTTTTCAATCACGTAAATTACAAGCAAACAAAAAAGGCTGATAATCACTAATGGCAACTTAGAAATGCTCGAACCTTAGCTTTATTTAGTAAATGACAAAGAAAGCAAAAACAAGTTTTTGATATTCTGACACACAAAGAGAAAATAATATATCATAAGCCAAAATACAAATGTAAAGCATAGGATCAAAGCAGAGTTCAGTCTAATCGAATAACCACAATAAATAATCTAGCTACCATTGGTTTCACATACTATACTCTTTATTGTCACTTAAATGAACACAATACATAAAACAGCTTGAATCACTATTACTAACGGTAAGTCGAAATAATAGGCAAATTGTTGATCAATATGGATCATGAAAGTGATATTGAAAACTAAATTGGGTAAAAATGAGACATGATTAAAACATGTGATGGAAATAACTTGTTGTCTGAGTTGATCTGTCTATGCTACATGAGTAGTAATGGTTAAAAGTTTATATATAACAAACACGTAAAAATTGAATTAAAATATTCCTTTATTTAAACTTTGTATTCACCACTGAAACGACCTTAGAAGTTACTAAAACATTATCAACATTTTAACGATAACTTCTCCAACAAACAGTTGTTGGAAAAAACCAAGTATCAGAGATGTTTTCGCATCAATTAAAATGACTTTAACACCATAATCAGTAGATGAAGTCATCAAACTAGGAACATTTTATTTTTGCAGTGACAATATTACAAGAGGCACTTGGTTCCAAACCTAAAGATTATGTTACTTTGTGATGAGAATCACTTTTGAATTTCACATACTATTTAACTTCAAAACTTTAGCTGTCTTTTCTTCATGATACGTTAGTACACAAGTGCCCTCGAGACAATGCTCCTAAACGCTAAACTATCGCGGGAGCAATGTTAAAATTAGGAACTTGTTTACTGATAAAAATATGAATCGACCGATGAGCCTAAAATCCCTCATCGGCAGAGATGGTTAGGAAGTGTTGCATATGCTAACCCCGATACTCAATGTTGACTCACTTGGAAGTAGATTTGGGAAAAAATTAAGGGTGAGCTTATCTGGAGATGAAATCAACTCATAAAGTCATCAACCACTAGAGAATTTTGACTTCCTCGTTGAGAACTACTCAATACTCTAAAGTATTAAATATAATAGATGACATGTATCAATGACAATCGCCATAGTGTAGCAGTTTTCATTCTATATCATCATCAATAGTTTAAGCTGATTGTCGTTCACAACTTTTCACTTCCCGAATTTATTTCTAATGTTTGAAGTGCCTTTATATGTTCAAATATTCCCCCATAAGTTATAAAACCGCATACGTTTTGTCATAAGACATGAAAATTTCTTATTAAACTATAAGACTGTTTGTTATTTAACTTCAAAAACATGAAAATGTGCACGGTACACCAATAAGTAAAATATAATCTTTTTATCAATCAGAACTACTACAATTTAACAAGCTAATTTCTTAAACATTTGTTTGATAAACTCCTTAAGCTGACGACTACTGTATTGTCCATTATTAAAAATTAATGAGTTGTTTTCTGTTGGGCGATTTGTGGAATTAACACATGGCACCCACTATTCCGTTAATATTTACAACTGCATAGCAAAACACCAGGTTACAACAGCATAGATGTACACTCAAGTGTCTTAGACAATTTTGTCTCCCAATAATCAAGAAAGCAAATAATTCATCTGTTTAAAATTGCTACTACAACTATGAGGGTAAGAGATAAGACAACGATGAAAGTCATTTTGAACTGTTTAAAAAGTAGATAAATATATGTTATGCGTTCAGATATGATTTAATAACGACTTGACTACTATATAAAATATTGGATAAATTTTGAGAGCTCAATTAATTTGTAGTGTGCCTTACCCTAAGACCACTCGTAAAGCAGTTAGTAACTCGATAATTGCGGTAAACACTTAAACCTAGACATTTTCGGAAAAATAGTTTCGATAAATAAAAACATATATCACCCACAACAATAATCAGTGCAGCCACTTATATTAAATTTAAAAAGATTAATGCGTTATTACACTTTGCATCTATTAGTGTCGATTATTGCGAGCGCGTATTTGTTCGAGGCTTACTGGGTGTAGGAAAGACACCGTATGGAAGCCTCTTAGGGTTTTACTTAATGATAATCAAACTAAGAAAATATTTCAGGAGCAACTAGAAAGAGAGTTAAGCAACCATGTTAGCGATTCCCATCCAGAATCAGGTTGGAATGATATCAAGAAGGCTGTGGAAACCGCAGTGATATCTGCTAGTCAGGTAAACCATAAGTCTAGAATGAAGCAATGGACCTCTGTAGCATCCACCGGACTGATGGATGCCCGAAAAATCACCACCTGACTCTGAACATGATGAGGAGAGACGTCAGCTTAGGCGCAGACTGATAAAAAGCCTACGCAACGACCGTGAACAGTGGTGGGTGACGAAAGCAAAAGCGATGGAAAAGGCAGTGGCGATAGGCAACAGTAGACACCTTTTCCGACTTATCAACGAAACTGGTATTAGGAACCCGAATGTGAGTGAGACTATTTCGGAAAATGATTGGACTATTATCCATTCTCAATCCAGGAGATTGGATTTATGAAGTTGAGAAAGCTATAGGAAATATGAAGTGAGAGAAGAAAGCAGCAGGACCCAATAGATAGACTCCTGATATTTATAAGGATGGTGGTCCAGTTTTAGCAGCTAGGTTGACTGAAATCTTAGATAGGATTTGGGGACTGGACACAATCCCATCTGACTGGTCTCAATCCTTGATTGTCCTAATTTATAAGAAAGGACAAAAGTCTTCTTGTGACAATCACAGGGGAATAATTCTAACCAATATAGTTTCCGAATTGTTAACATCGACTCAACATAGGAGCCTAACTACTGTTCGTGTAGAGCTGACTACAGAAAACCAGGCTCGTTTCAGACCTGGACGTGGATGTACAGACCACATCTTCGCACTACGACAGGTCCTGGAACACAGACACACATTTAGACGTCCGGAAATAGTTGTCTTCCTGAACCTTGAGGAGGCTTTTGACTCTGTTGATCGTGAGGTTCTGAAGTAATGTCTGTAATTGAAAGGTGTACCAAAGAAGTACATTAACCTTATACAAGTTCTCTACTCTAAAACTACTGGTCGAGTGAGAGCCAATGACGAACTGTCATCGGCTTTGGTTACTTCAAGTGGTGTTCAATTTTATCATAGACATCCTCCTAGATATAACCTTATCCTCGTCCGACTTTTCAGGAGTCGACTTTCTACCAGGAAAATGTGCTTAATGACCTAGAATATGCCAACAACATAGTAACACGACATCGTAACGTACGTAACACATGTCCCAACCACCTCAACTGAGGAAGTTTCACTACTTCATCTATTGATTTGCCATCCTTACCTAGAACTCGTTTCCTAACGAAAGCATTGCTTATACGGTTGTCCCAGGATACACGAGCAATGCTTCGGAGACATCGATGATCGAAGACGAAAGTCCTCTACTCTTAACGGCCATGTTTCGCATCCGTATAGTAGGACGGAGAGAACTGCTGCACAGTACACTCGACCATTGGTTAGCAACAGGATATCTCGCCTGTGCCATAAGTGACGCAACTTGGCAAAAGCCAATCGAGTCTTCTGTGTCCGTGCTGAGATTTCGTCAGTCACCAGGCCATCAGCACTCATGAGGCTCCTCAGATACGTGAAGTGATCTGCACGCTCGACTATTTCACTCCCTATCACTAATTCAGGTGCCGATGCAACCAATTCTTGAAGCAACATTTTTCATTTCGAGGGTGAGAACCGCATCCCGAACATGCTTGCATTGTTGCTTAGGATGGTCAGAAGACTGCATTTTGTCAGCAACTTCACCAATTAGGACTACATCATCGTCATATTCTAAGTCAATAAGCGAGCCACCTAGTAGAAGGTCTACTCCTGAAAATTCAGACAAGGATAAGGTTATTTCTAGGAGCATGTCTGTGATAAAATAAAACAAGAATAGGATTACTGGCACTTCGTAGGCCCGCTAAACATGATCTGACTTACAAGATAATAGGCTGAATCGGACAGCTACGGCTCGTAACTTGCTACTGTGATTCATGGTAGCCGTCAATAATAAAAAATCAGTCTATCTTGTTGTTCGTTTTAAAAGTCCTTTACGACCATTCAGTTAGTTTGTATGTTATTAAAGTATAAAAACAACGGTTTTTCATACCAAGGTAATTTCCTCAGTAACCATATATTGATAATTAATTCTTATTTTGGTATAAAACGGCTTATATTTTGATAATGGTTTGGAAAAATCTTGTCTAGTACACCGATATATTGTGCAGAATATATTCGTTACTATGATATCACATAACCTTAAGAAAGAAAAATATAAATATGACAATATCCTTACCGAGGAGTCGACCATCTCGAATTAAATATTCAGCTTCATGGGCGGGATGACTAGACTTAATTCTCTGAACATCTGCCTCGTTTTCAGCTATATGGGGAGGGATTAAAAGCTTGGCTTCCCAATGATCTTTAGTATATACTCCAGCAGTTTGAGTGAAGACATCTATTGAAGATGGAATTTTAACTGGAACTTCAGGAGGAGAATAACTACCAATCACAGCCCCACAATCACCTACCTACGTCAAAATAAATTATTGCATATGTTAAATCCAATTATTTAAAAAGGCATATAAAATGGACTTCTTAAATATTCCACCACATGAAAATACTACTACTAGTAATGCGATTTGTCAGCGACTTCACCATATAGAACTATGTCGTCAGCATATTCTAAGTCAACCAATGAATCTCCTGGTAGACGGTTCACCCTTGAAATGTCAGACGAAGATAATGTCAACACTAAAAGTATGTATAAGACAAACTTAAAGAAGAATGGAGAGAGTGGACATCCGTGACGAACACCACTTAAAGTAATCAATTATGATGACAGTTCACAGTAAGCTCTCACTCGACCCGTAGTGTTCGAGTAGAGAGCTTGTATAAGGTTACTGTTCTTATCTGGTTCTCCTTTCAGTGACTGACACTGTGACAGGACCTCGCGATCCATAGAGTCAAATGCCGATTGTCGGACGTCTAAATGTGTGCCTGTGTTCCAGGGCTTGTCGTAGTGTGAAAATGTGGTCTATACAGCCACGTCCTGGTTTGAAACCAGCCTGATTTTCTCTAGTCTGCTCTTCAGGAGCTTTACATAGGCGTCTAATTATTATCGAGGCTAACCATTTCGACACTATATTAGTTACACTGATTTCTCCGTGATTGTCACAAGTCGACTTTTGTCCTTTCTCGTAGACTGAGCCAAAGTGATTGAGACCAGTTAGATGGGATAACGCCTAGTTCCCAAATTCTAACCCAGATCACAGTCAATCTAAATGCTGAGGCTGGAACACCATCTTTAAAAGGGGTCAACGTGACAAGACCCGCTGCCCTGTCTCGTTTCCCATTTCCCACAGCTTTGTCAAACTGATGAAGACTCGGAGAATTTACATCTATTTGCCATCCAGGTTGACTGGAGATCGTGGGCAACCGAAGTGTGGCTGAAGGCCAGTTGAACTGATCCCTGAAGTGTTCTGCCCATCGATACAATCTCCTGGATTGAGAATGAATAATAAAACCATAATTTACCGAGACAGTCTCCCTTACATTCGGGTTTCTAATACCAGTTTCCTTGATAAGTCGGAACGTCTGCTGTTGCCTATCGCCGTTTTCCATCGCTCTTGCTTTCATCACCAACCACTGTTTGCGATCATTCCGTCAGCTTCTTATCAGCCTGAGTTTAAGCTGACTTTGCAGCTGATCATCTTCACAGCCAAAAGAGATGAGTTTTCGAGTGTCTAACAGTTCGGTACATGCTACTGAGATACACAGCCTCCGCCTAAACTCATAGTTTACCTTACTAGCAAGTATCACGGCTGTCACCAGAGCCTTTTTGATATCATTCCAAGCTACCTCCGGATGGTAATCAATTACACGGCCGCCTAACTGTCTTTCGAGTTGCTCCTGAAATATATTCTTAGAGACAGACAGACAGATACAACGCAGAAGTTCGTACATCAGTACATCGGTTCAGGTTGCCATACCACAACAGCACAGAGACGCAACCGTCAGTTCAAATCCAATAGTGTTAGCGATGGTAGAAGTATTAGCAGTAATGGAGAAGATTAGAGAGCGAAGATAGGATTCGAGAAGTATAATTCAGTGAGATAAATTTAGAAGGAGAAAGAGAGAGATTAGGAGGAATCCAAAGGGTTAGAATTCGAAAGTACGCAAACAGTGGATGCACCTGTGCCATTGCAAACAATTCTGAGCCATGTCATTCAAGGTCTCTAACCATTGGTAACTTTCGTCTCGCAGACCCCAATCAGGTAGCCTACATCTACATGACCCAGTCCACTTTTTAGTGACTTCATGGATTTCGGCCAAGTTTTGGTTTGGCCGCCCCTAGCTTTCTTCAGATCTACTCCTACACCACAAAACATAGTTCGTCGCGACAGTCGCTGGTTGGGCATTCGTAACACATGTCACAACCACCTCAACTGAGGAAGTTTCACTACTTCATCTATTGATTTGCCATCCTTACCTAGAACTCGTTTCCTAACGAAAGCATTGCTTATACGGTTGTCCCAGGATACACGAGCAATGCTTCCGAGACATCGATGATCGAAGACGAAAGTCCTCTACTCTTAACGGCCATGTTTCGCATCCGTATAGTAGGACGGAGCGAACTGCTGCACAGTACACTCGACCAAGCAAGCGGATATCTCGCCTGTGCCATAAGTGATGCAACTTGGCAAAAGCCAATCGAGCCTTCTGTGTCCGTGCTAAGATTTCGTCAGTCACCAGGCCATCAGCACTCATGAGGCTCCTCAGATACGTGAAGTGATCTGCACGCTCGACTATTTCACTCCCTATCACTAGTTCAGGTGCCGATGCAACCAATTCTTGAAGCAACATTTTTCATTTCGAGGGTGAGAACCGCATCCCGAACATGCTTGCATTGTTGCTTAGGGTGGTCAGAAGATTGCATTTTGTCAGCGTCTCCACCAAATAGAACTATGTCATCGGCATATTCTAGGTCATTAAGCACATTTTCCTGGTAGAAAGTCGACTCCTGAAAAGTCGGACGAGGATAAGGTTATATCTAGGAGGATGTCTATGATAAAATTGAACACCACTTGAAGTAACCAAAGCCGATGACAGTTCGTCATTAGCTCTCACTCGACCAGTAGTTTTAGAGTAGAGAGCTTGTATAAGGTTAATGTACTTCTTTGGTACACCTTTCAATTACAGACACTACCTCAGAACCTCACGATCAACAGAGTCAAATGCCCTCTTATATATATATATATATATATATATATATATATATATATATATATATATATATATATATTATTAGCTTTATTTTCATTAAGTAGAGCCCTAAGAAGAATCCTTGCGACATTTTTCCTGTGTCCAGTAAGAAGCAAACGAACACAGGCTTGTACTAGAGCATGATTAGAATCCAAACAACTGTTTCAGGGTAAGCGACAGTCTTCAACAGAGCCTCTTCACCGATGGCCTGTAGCGATGTGATCGGCTTTGGGGGTCGCCAGGTCAAAAGGTGTCCTACCTCATTCTTCAAGTTAATGTCTGCTAAGAATAGGCGGTTATTTAAGCACAGCGGCAGCAGACAGTTGCCACTGACTGTTTGATCTGTAGTAACACCACAAGATTCACCCAAGTGTCTTTGATTTTCACCTAGTCTACCTACTTAAGTATTGAAGTCACCAGCCATTATTTTTACATCAGAACGCTTAACTTTTTGAAGTTTATAGAGGTTTCTGTAAAATTTATATTTTATGTCATCTGAACTGCAGTCAGTGGGAGCGTGGGCAGATACGACAAAAAGGCAACGGAGAGTTTCCCTATGTTTGAGTCCGTATAGTCCCGTTCAGTCGGACAGTGCATAAGCGTCTGTCTACCAGGATCCAGTCTAAGAAAGACAGTTCTGCCCTAGGACTTAATACTATACCTACGTCAGCGAGGCCACGGGAAGCAGCATCAAGGCTACCAGAAACTCGAAACGTAAACCGTGTTGTTTCTACATCTGCACTAGGTGAAATCAAATTAATGATTTTACTTGGATCTTGTATGCACGTTTCGGAGACGCAGCATACATCGATTGCACGGGATTCCAGAGTTCTAGCTAATTAAGCCTATTGACCTATTTGGCACAAGGTTAGAACACTAAAAGCTCCAATATGTAATTTAGTACGGGATTTCAGGAGACCAGGAATAATGTTTCGTGAGCTCAAACTGTTTGCTTCAGCGGCGCGAGGTGACAAAGATCGAAAGAAGGGTTGGTCGAGGCGAGTTATTAGGTGTAGAAAGGATTTGATAGTGACCGATTTCGTTTTCATGTGCTTTTATAGGTATGAGAGCAGATGTTAAATCCCGGTTGCCCATACCGTGGAAGGGTTCTGGTTGTCAGAATCGTAAACTGCTAACTATATATACCTAACTTATGTATTTTTTCTGTTTATTAATTGGAGAAAATTAGTAAAACTTATGTTTATTTATCCCTTAGTAATCGTCAGTGAGTGAAATAATTACTGTCATATACTAATAGAGAATAAGATACTAATGTTTGTCTTTTAATCCAGCAATAAACTTCTATCTGTATAGGTTCAGTAGTTACACATTCCTGTTTATAAATATGAAAATAAATTTGACAAAATGATTTAAAGACCTGTTTGCTTTGTTCGTTATTGTAGAAATTTAGGAAAATGTGATTGAGATAGGTCTGACTAAAGTACAGTTGATAGTTAAAGTTTTTTAGACTTTTTCTGAACGATTTTCTGCTTTTAGTGTTCGATTGTTGAGAAAAAGACAGTCAATTGTATGAGGTTACCATAAAACCCATTGCACAAAAATTATCACATCTTTTGTTAACAAATGGATAGATTCAAAACTCGCAAGACTGAGTTTGTTGGAACATATTTTAGGCACATATCTTAGATACGTCCTCAAACATAAATGTGATAACTTGAACACCCCCCTTCTATTACCAAGAAGACTTTGTATGAGCCAGAAAACTTCACATACTTAAGAACTAAGTTTACTAGTTTCGCAACTCACCTGAGCAGCAAAAAGCTCCTTCCGATGACGAGGTATATAAACCGAAGTTGCTACACAACCAGCAAACACTATACGCAACAAAGCTTTGTCTAACACAGGACCATGGAAAATGGGAGATGCTGCCAAGGACATATCCAGATCCATTCGAAGAAGACCGTTCCTCAGTGTCCAAGCAGTAGCCGCTACATAATTGCGCAAATCATCAACAGACTGATCGAAGTCTGGATCAAAAGAATGAAGATTAAATTTAGCAAACAAACCTGATGATAAAGTAGGATCTTCTGATCGCCTAAACGAAGACGATGAAGGCTCGGAGTATTTCATGACAGTTTCCTTAATCGCATTTAATGGAGCAGTAATGAACCCGTCTGGATCAATCATATCACCCTCACTATTATCACTGTAGAAAAACTCTGAAGTAGAAATTTTTAAAATATTACGAAAACCATAACTCTTCAAACATATAAAAATTCCGTGTAGCGAAGCATTCATCAAGAAAATGTGTCACAATTCGCTTTTAAAAACAGCTTACGAAAATAAATGTTTACAACAACGAATATGTTGTTTATATGACGATCATAAATTGATTAATATACAGTTTGAGTTCATCTGTATTTCAAACCCTTGACAAATATTACTGTTTGAATTTTAAAGTATTATCGACTATGGTAGCTTATTCAACAAATGATTAAAACTATTACATCCCTCATGTAAGATAACTACTCTGCTAATCGATTGTGAATCAATCAGCAAATCACTAAGCAAAGAGAAAATGCCAGAAAAAAATGATCTACAAAAGCTACTTACAGAGATACTTTAGGGATGTAACTGAGTACTACTTCCCTTTTAAGGTCCTTCGAAGATTATGAAACTTTAAGTACATGGTCTAAAAAGTAGTATACCCGCATCGTACTATTTTGTACTATATAGATGTAGATGAGAGAATGGGATGACAAAAAGACGCAAACAAACACACTCGTTTTGAAACTAAAAAGGACTCCATAATTATACTACTAGTCTAATATTTTCTCTCGCCTTTATGAGCTGATATTAGTACGTAGTAATGAAAGCTATTCAGTTAAATAACAGCTGCTTCGACAAGAAACTTACGAATATGTTGATACGAATATGTAAATGGTTTGCGAATGAAATTTACACAGTGAATCTAGAGTTGAACCCTATATTTTGATAGAAACCTCTGTGAATTACAATACCTAGTCGAAATAAATTGCAGTGTATCTATCCCTATGACTTTATGTTTGGTAATACAGAAACAAAACCATAACGCTCAAAGCCTGAGAAAAATGAAAAGGGATAATGATAAAGGCCCCTTTTTCCAGGTGGACTACTGACAAATGTATCATGAACATTACAGCAGTAACTTAACACCTAGAAAATGTTTTTAATCAATGAAGAAGCATGGATTCAAAACTATAAATGAAACCTTGGATATTAGAAATACTACTAATTTTTGATAACAAACCCTAACTACTTTGCACTTGATTATCGGATTCAAACACTATAAACATAAAGTTGAAAGGTCTATCATAAAACTTTTCAGGCAAACAAACATAAAGGAAACAAAACTAGCTATAAATGTTCATCGCTTTACGATGCTGCAACTAACACTAACATATCAAGAGATTACCTATCGAAAACAATGATACACATGAACGGGATATTGAACTAAACCAAAAGACTCTCATATTTGATTAATATAATTACACTAAAATATTGATAACAACCATTGAAAGTTTCTCAACCGCCGAAAAAAGCGTCGGAGATTAAATTGACCATTTGTAAAACTTATTTTTCACACAATTTGTATGAAATCTAAATAAATTCTGAACAAATATACAAGCTGGAAGGACTTGAATTATGTGAATTTAGTATCCAAATTATGTGACTTACCTTTTTCATCACAGGTTGATAATAATTCTCCAAGAAATCTACTGATGTGTCCAACATGTGCATTACGTACAGACATCGGTAGAGGGCCCCAAGGGCCCCAGGGACCCCAGCTAACTTTAGGTTGATTATGTACAGAATTCAGACTAGGATTGGAAAATCTGCAATTTCTATCTGCTTTTAAACCAAACTCGATATGTTCAGACTCTCCAGTAATCGTTGCACCAGAAGTCATCCACAATGTGACTGCCAACTCACCAATTGAACGCGGTGTACGTAACTCCTGAGTACGGTGGAGATTTTGTAAAGCACGTTCAGATACTTTTGAAGGTAGAAGACCGGAAATTATGTAGTCACTGTGTAACAAATTAACTGCATGTGCACAAGCATGTCCACCATGTCCATCAACTACCGTAAATAATGTACCACCATAAACCGATTTCTCATCGTTCGACTGTTTGTAATCGCTGAGAGTAAGAGAATTGAAATCCCCTTCGCCAAAATGAGAAGCCATCCACCTATCTTCGACAGGGCGATTGACACTAACCTAATTTCATTAATAAAAGCTGATGATACAGCAAACACAAGCATGACACAAATAAACATAAAAATAAAAGTAATACAGATAAAAATCTTGCAGTCTATTTATAAGTACTGGAAGTTAATGACATGATGAATTTAACAATGGATAAACGCTGACAAAATAAACTAGTAAATATACAGATCAGAAAAATATGAAAATTTAGATAGAAAAACACAATAGTTAGGAAGTTGATAACAATCGTATACAATAAAAATACAGTAATATTCCGTAATGATTAAGTATGTGGACACATGAGGCCGATCATTAGATGCCAACTACACTTGAAGGTTAAAAGTAGATTTAGATCACTTAGTAATTAGATGGATCTATGATTACTTGATTTTCAGATGAGGAAAATAACTACTAAAATACCGTAAATTAACCCACAATCATATTACCACAGAAACAAACCGTTCATCAGGTTTTTGATTTTGGTGAAGCAACGAGAAAATAGGAACATAACTGTGATTACCTGGAAATCTTATGTCAAACGAACTCAATTAGGTATACAAATATTTTATATCGCTGAAGCTAGTTTAGGCATACGAATTTATTAGGAAACCATGTTTTAAGAGCAACTAAAGGTATAAAGGTCAATGATTTAAAAAATAGTTATTCAAGTGGTCTTTAAACGATTAGTAGTATAAAACAACATAAATAATTTTTCAGAATCATTAATTGACACTTAAAAACAATGGAAAAAAGGATAACTAATTGAGCACAGATGGACGATATATAATAAATAACAACAATGTAAAGCAAAAATTACTTGATTGGCTGAAAATATGATACGCTCATTTTTTCCTTTATATGTTAACTCTTGACCGGAAATGCGTTTACTAACATCAGTTTCGGAGACTTTGGTTTCGATGATATTTTCAAGACCATCAATAAATTCATGAATTCGCCGTTTACAAGCAACACGAAGTAACTCTTCGTAAGTTGATTGGTAAAAAGGCTTTTTCAAGAATAAATTCAAGGAAACGACAACCTAGAAAAAGGTACATATGAAAATATGAAATCATAATCGCCATAATTATCCAGGAGCAGTAACGCAACATAAATTAGCATAAGCTTACACTTAATGAATTAAGCACAAAATTTCACTAAGTAATTTGCTTAAAAATGCTATGTTGATCTTAAATAGCAAAGACGGTATTCAACTAGTGGAGCTATCAACAACGTATACGCAATTATATCTATCTGTAACATTATTCCACTCTTAAGGATTCGGTTAATAACTAAATATATATTGGTTTAAATATAATCCGCCCCATACATGCCAGAACTCCAAGATATCGATCGCGATTAACAGTTAAGCACATAATTCTCTAATAATTAATCACACAATCAGAGATTCTTTCATAACTAGGCATCATTCAGGTTGGGATTTTTTTCATATGCCAGCAGCAACTGTATGGATCAGATTCTCGTCGTCGTCAAGAGAGTCATGTCAGTCCAGGCGGCTAGTGGTATTATGGAAGAGGATGTCATCGTTTGATGAGCAATGAAACGAAATGTGGCCAAGTGATGGCTGCTCGGGGGACCGTATAGTTGACATAAGCCTCTGAATGATTCGAAATTAAGGACCACCACTAGCCAAAAGAATAGACTTTTTATTCAACAAGGTGACATGTTGTCTACAATATATCGAAACAAAATGAAAATGATAAGACTCCGTAGATAATAAGGAAATCAGTTCGCGGGTCATTATTCTTTAGTTAATTATAAACTGATTGTCAGACCTACTTCTTTCATATAGTATCAGATGATTTATAAGGTTACGGTGTAGCGTTGTGAAAAGGAATACAAGAGAGTGACAAACAATGGAGGCTTATTTTGGAGACATTATTTGGTCTAATTGAAGGCTTGCTAAATACTAGTACGAATTTTTGTGGCTTTCCTATTTCGTAAATTTTAAGCTTTCCGTTATGTGATTCAGTGGCATATTGTTTTATTCCAAAACTATTATCTTAGTCATAGTCGTAGTCGTAGACACAGTGGTAGTAGTAGTAGTAGTAGTGTGGTGTGTGCTACTTATACGAACGATATAAGTAGTATAAGAATGGACGCGAAAGAAGATATCTTACGGTCAGAAGAGGAAAACGGAAAGCAAATAGAGCAAAAGCAAGAAAGATTTAGAGCACCGATAGGAAGTAAAGGAAGCAACAGCAGGAATGGAGGAAGGCTGGAGCGTTGGAAGTCAGGACTCAAAGATGGTGTGCAAATGGAGTGTTCAATGTAATGTTATCGTTTTTAATTGACTAAGAGTGTAAATTTGCCAAATACAATCTATCGAGCCTGCCTCAGTCTTCTCAATTGGTGTCGCTGCCTCCACACAGGATGAAGATACCATGGCCTCGGGAGTTTGAAGACGGAGATGTAAGGAGCTTCTTGAAGGAGTTCGAGGCTGTGGCGGAGCTGGTCGGAGTCAAGGAACGGAAGGCGAAGGCGGTGGTGCTGGGGACTCTACTAAGAGGCAGGGCGAGAGCGGTGTACGACAGTGTGGAGGACGCTGATTGGAAGGTGGTGACGGAGAGACTGCTGGTGGAGTTCGACAGCCCGGCGGATAGGCAGGACGCGCTGCAGAAGTTCCGAGAGGCGCGGCTGTCGGTGGACGGCGACCCACTCGTGCTGGCCGTGGAGTTGACAAGATTGCTGCGCCGGGGTCTGCCGAATTTGGATGAGGAGTCGCAGGCACAGCTGCTAGCCTCGTAATTCATTGAAAGTGTGCCTGCAGAGATTGGCCAACAGTTGAGACTGGTGAACGCGGCACAACCAATGGACGTCACCGAGCTGGCGAAAGTAACAAGACAACTGATGAACTCAACAGTCGCCTCGGTGGCGTGTGAGAGACAGGCTGATGATGTCGTGAAGAAGATAGAAGAATTACAACGAGAGGTGGCAGCGTTACGAATAAAGGGTGAAAGAAATAATAAATGCTACATTTGCGGAGGAACCGGACATTGGAAGAGGAATTGCCCAACAAGACGAAGACGTAAATATTTTAGACCATACACAAGTTGTTCTTTATGTCTTTCGAAACTGGGGGTTTCGGCATTAGTAGATAAGGGGGCGGTCTATGCGAGAGTAGGGATAAACGAGCGAGAGGTAGTTTGCCTGATTGATACAGGGGCGGCAGTTTCGTTAATAGACAAAGAGCGGTGTAGAGGTATCAGGCCGAGTGCATTAGTTGTTAACACCATCGGCGGCCACGTGTTAAAAATCCTCGGAGTCTCAAATGATATCGTGAAAATCGGCAGTTCGAAAATACAGTTTCCCTTTGTAGTGACTACGAACTTGTCGAGACCAATACTAGGAGCAGATTTCTTGAGAGAAGTAGGAGCAATTATTGATACAAGAAGTAAGAAGGTGATTACAAAGTACGGCACACTGACAATACATGAAAGCAGCGAGGTGGCTGAGGTTGGAGTAGCAAAAGAGGACATTGGAAAGAAACAGAACATTAACGAGGTGCTCACAAAATATAAAAAGTTGTTCACGGGAGACGGAGAACCGTACGGGTTTTGTAATAAAGTCAAACATGAAATTCCGATAAAGAACGAAGAAGTAACCATCTTCACAACACGACGGGTCCCCGTACATTTGGAAGCTGAGATAAACCAGCAGGTACAGGAGATGTTAAAAGCAGGTATAATTGAAGAAGCAGATAGCCCGTACAGCTCACCGGTACTTTTGGTAAAGAAGCCAAATGGAAAGTATAGATTCTGTGTTGACTTTAGAGAACTGAATAACGTGACAGAAATAAAACCATGTGCAATGCCAACAATAGCGGAGACGTTAGATCGTCTACAGAGTGCTACGGTGTTCACAGTGTTAGATTTACGGTCGGGCTATTGGCAGCTACCAATAAAAGACAGTGATCGCAGCAAAACGGCATTTATCGTACGGGAGAAGCAGTATCAATTTAAACGAATGCCCTTTGGATTGGCGGGCGCACCCTTTACGTTTCGAAGACTAATGACATTGCTGCTCAGAAACCTGGAGAATGTCGAGGTTTATGGCGATGATTTGGTCGTATATAGTCGTACAGAGGCAGAACATGTGAGGCACGTGGAGGCGGTCCTAAGGCGAATTGATGAGTTTGGTTTACGAATCAACAAAGACAAGTCTCAGATAGCGAAAAGAAGCGTCACGTTGCTGGGGCATAAAGTAGGCAATGGAGAAATAAAACCACTGCCGGAGAAGATTCTAACGATAAAGAATATTGCAGTTCCCAACTCAAAAAGGAAGTTAAGACAGTTCCTGGGAAGAGCGGCGTTCTACAGCAGATTCGTGAAGAACTTCAACGATATAGCAGCACCTCTATATAAAGTGCTAAGCAATGCGAAGTTTACGTGGACAGAGACCGCTCAACAAACTTTCGACCGAATCAAAGAGCTGTTAGATGACCGCCAAATGACGCTGAGACTGCCGGAACCCGAGAAGCCATTTACAGTGACCACTGATGCGAGCGATCACGGTATAGGTGCGGTCTTGAGGCAGTCTGACAGAGTGGTGGAGTATGCCAGCCGTGTCCTTACGCCGACAGAACAGAAGTATTCCACAGTAGAAAAAGAGTGTTTAGCGATTGTATGGGCGGTAGACAAATGGAGACCGTATCTACTGGGTCGGCGATTTCACATCGAGACGGATCATAAGCCCCTACAATGGTTAAAAACAGCAAAAGACCCTCGGGGGAAGTTGGCTCGATGGATGCTACGTCTGCAGGAGTATGATTTTAGTATCGGGCATGTGCCAGGGGAGGAAAATGTAATGGCAGATTATTTGTCAAGACCGGACACCGAAGCCGAACTTCCAGAGATAGCGTGTGCAGTTAACGGCCTAGAGGGAGATCCCCTAGAACTCGTCCGGCATCAGAAAGCCGACCCTAACCTTCGGGAGGTAATCAGAGTGATAAAAGAGGGAGAAGATGTTGACAAGAGTGGAACAGATAAGGAATTAACAGTGTTGCTGAGGCAGAAGGAGAGACTGAGAGTGAACGGATACGGAGCCTTGACCTGGCGGGATGATGACGAGAATTGGGTAGCAATAATCCCAAAAGATCTGCGCCAGGACATGATTCGTGAATGTCACCAGGTAGCGCACACAGGTATTGCACGGACAACTGATTTGCTGCGACAAAGTGCGTACTGGCCAGGTATGAGAGACGATGTTGCACGATATGTATTAGCGTGCCAGCGATGTCAACTAATGAAAGGGGATCGATGCATACGACCGCCATTGCAGTCAATTCCAGTAACAGCAGTTGGTGATTTGTGGTCAGTAGATATTATGGGACCGTTCCCACAGACGACAAGTGGTAACCAGTACCTGCTGGTGATGACTGAGCATGCCACACGATGGGTAAATGCCGTGCCGATGGCGGACCAACGTGCAAGGACGGTGACGGAAGCGGTAATGCGGCACATTGTGGCTGACCATGGGATACCAAAGATAATATTAACCGATCAAGGTCCCTGTTTCGAGAGTGATGAGTTCAAGTCCCGTCTAAAGCAGTTAGGTATCAAGAGAGTACGAACAACGCCGTATCATCCACAGACGAATGGGTTAACGGAAAGGAATAACCGAACGCTAAAGGAATGGCTAGCATCTAAAGGGGGTGACTGGGAGAAAGAATTACCATTAATCTTGCTGGCACATCGTGCCTCGGCACAGGGAACAACCAGGAAGTCACCGTTCCAGCTGATGTATGGCAGACGGCCGAGACTACCAACGCATGATAAAACCTGGCCGCAACAACAGAGATGGAATACAACAAGATTGAGAACAGAGCGGAGACAAGCAATCAGGAATGTGAGAGAGAAACAAACATCAGACATGCAGAAGTCAGAACAGGAGAGAAAGAACTGGAGACCGTTTGAAGTGGGAGACCAAGTGAAGTGTAGAGAACGGAAATGTACCACAGGAAGAGGGCCAGGGTCAGGCAAGCTGATCCCGAAGTGGGAGGGACCGTACGTAGTAACCGAGAGGCGCGGCGCAGTGTATACAATCCAGAAAGGAGACAAACAGAAACGCGTGAATGCCAGTGAACTCCAAAGGTGGTTCCAAGTGCGCCAACAGGGCGAGCCACAAACACTGATAAAGAAGACGGCTGTACGGAGATCAGAAAGGCTGAGAGAGCGACTTGTTAAAGGGGGGATGAGTGTGGTGTGTGCTACTTATACGAACGATATAAGTAGTATAAGAATGGACGCGAAAGAAGATATCTTACGGTCAGAAGAGGAAAACGGAAAGCAAATAGAGCAAAAGCAAGAAAGATTTAGAGCACCGACAGGAAGTAAAGGAAGCAACAGCAGGAATGGAGGAAGGCTGGAGCGTTGGAAGTCAGGACTCAAAGATGGTGTGCAAATGGAGTGTTCAATGTAATGTTATCGTTTTTAATTGACTAAGAGTGTAAATTTGCCAAATACAATCTATCGAGCCTGCCTCAGTCTTCTCAGTAGTAGTAGTAGTAGTAGTAGCAGTAGTATGAACAGTATTCGTCAAGATTAAGGATCGAAGATATGATTCGAGAATTATATCCCAGTGAAATAAATTTAAGACGAGAAAAAAGATGGTCACGAGGGATTGAGAAGATTAGGATTTCAGAGAAAACGAAGAATGGGTATATCCGTGCCAATAAAAACGACTGTAGGACATGTCATTTAAGGTCTCTGAACAGTGGTTGTTATTGGGTCTTAATTAGTGGAATTAAGCTATCCTGTTCCATTACCGTTAAAATCTTGTCCTCCTGAAAGTCAACCATGGTTATCCTGACAGTAGCTGCTACCTTGATGTGGCGGTTGGGATTGCCTATCGTAATGACCAAACCGAATAATATTGGCTGGGAAACTTGTTTCTTTAGGTCCCACCATGCCAAGCCGATCAATTGGAGAACGGTAAGACTAAAAGTAGCAACTCATAATTTGAGGGCTAAGTCGTACTGCTGACTGTAGAGAGGTGTAAGGTATTCCCTTCGGACATCCAGCATCTGTAGCGATGCTGCCTTCTCAGAACGGAAGGAAGGTGTTAGAATAGGTCGACCTTACCTCACGGATTTCCGTCTCCGGCGGTAAGGCCATTTGAATAGTGGAGCAACCTATACAATCTTCCGATAAAAATGCAGTGCTTGACCGGTCTGAAGCAGATGTCCTTTAAACCTCGCATCGACTACACGAAACATAACTCCCGGTCACCTGAAACCCTGCTCTAAACTACATGTTGCAGCTTTAAATGTCCGAGCCTTGTTCCGAATAGGACAACAGGCTTCCTTAGCTAGGACTTCACAGTCTCGCGCCATCGATGTATGCTGCGTCTCCGAAACGCGCATACAGGATCCAAGTACAGTCATTCATTTGACCTCACCATGTCAAAATAAAGAAGCTCGATTTACGCCTCACGTATCTGAGAGCCCCACTGTTGCTTCTCGTGACCTTGCTGGAATAGGTACGGCATTGAGATCTAGAGCACAACTAGCGCTCTTAGATAGATTGGATCATAGTAGGTGATCACTTGTGCGCTGTCCGAATTAACGGGACAGTAGGAACTCGGAAAGATGGGGTCACTTGGAGTTGTCTCTGCCTACGCTCCCACTGAGTGCTGTTCAGATGAAGTAAAGATTAATTCTACAAAATGCTTTCGGACCTCCTTCAAACCGTTAGGCGCTCTGATGTAATATACTAGTGGATGATGACTTTAATGCTCAAGTAGGTAGACTAAATAGAACCGGAAATTACTTGTTTGGTGTCACTGTTCATCGGACAGATAGCAAGGAAACTTCTTACAGTTCTACTAAACGATAGCAGACAGGAGTATAAAATAGGGATAACTAGAGAAACAGTTAGACAGCCATGAAATTTATGTACATCATGAAGTTACTTGGAATGGTATCCAAAATGCCGTGGACACAGTGATATTTGCCAGCGAAGCAAGCAATAAAGTTAGGGAGAATCAGTGAATCCGAGTAGCATCTGAACTGACAGATGATCGGGAACTCATCTGGTCCGGCTCTGAACATAATGAGGAGTGGAGTCGGCTCAAGCTCAGGCAGACAGGAGGAAGGTAGCCTAATTTCAGAACCGGACATGGATGTATGGACCAGATATTTACAGATGGGCAAATCCTATAACGCTAACACTTGTCCACACCCGACTAGTCATATTAATTGATCTTAAGCAGGCGTTTGACTCTGTGTATCGTGAGGTTCTGTCACGGTGTCAGTCACTGAAAGGAGAACCAGATAGGTACATTAACCTTATACAATCTCTCTACTCAAACACCACTGGTCGAGTGAGAGTTTATGGTGAACGGATGTCCACTCTCTCCATTCTTCTTTAAGTTTGTCGCATACATACTTTTAGAGCTGACAGTATCTTCGCCAGACATTTCAGGGGTGAACCGTCTACCAGGAGATTCATTGGTTGACTCAGAATATGCCGATGACATAATTCTACTCTGTGAAGACTGACAAAATGCAGTCTTCTGAATACCCTAAGCAACAATGCAAGCATGTTCGGGATGCGGTTCTCACCCTCGAAATGAAAAATTTTGTTTCGAAGTTGAGTTGCATCGGCATCTGAATTAGTGATAGGGAGTGAAGTAGTTGAACGTGTAGACCGCTTCAGTTATCTCAGCTGTCTCATCAGTGCTGATGGCCTGGTGACTGACGAAATCTCAGCACGGACACAGAAGACTTGATTGGCTTATGATAACCTGCGTCATTTCTGGCGTAGGCGAGATATCCGTCTGCTGAATAGTGTACTGCACAGCAGTATGCGGTATAGCAACCTGAACTGATGGACGTACGTACGAAGTTCTACATTGCGACTGACTCACTGAGCCAGAAGCTGTGCAACAGTTCACTGTAATGCCTCTAAATGTCCTGGCACAGCCAAGAGCGAACAGTCTGCTCTCCCTATCGAAATGTTCGCATGCAGCCGCGGATGTATAGCCCCTACCACGATGCCTTCTCACTGCCTTCTCGTTGAGGTGGTGGTTATTAGATAGAGAGGCCGGTGCTCGAACAGAGTTGATGAGGGCGGACATCCCAGGGGTTTGGAAAACCCTGACTTCAAAACTATAGTGCACATGGGCTCCAGGATCCTGTGGGAAATAGTGGAGTATGGACTCTCAAGGAAATCTAGAGCATGGCATGGTTTTTCAGTGGAAATGTGTATAAAAAGAACTTTTCTACATGACAAATCAGGGAAAGCAACACAAATGTTCGTTACTGAAAAAAAACAAATGAGTTTGTGATAAAACATGGGTTTTAAATGAGCAATATGATTTTCACTGCATTTCTATTTAGATCCCGACAAACATCAGAACATTCAGAGACTTATGCCATATGGTCACCTTCAGAGCTTCGATGACGAATGTGACATGATTATCTACCAATAAACTGTTGTACCAGAGTCATGGTCCTAAAAAAGGTCACTGCTGGATCACAAACCTGTTGAAGGCAAGAGATATCTGGATCAGTATTCTCCTTCACAAAAGCAAGCTAATTGGAATATTTTTGTCTCTGAACGGGTCTACTAGACAACAAACCTTAACGGATTCGAAGCTTCCGGTAATGTGATTCAAGTAACTCGCTCGTAATCATTCCAGGGAAGAATTAATTTCCTAAAAGTTCGACATAGCGTCACAAATTGACACCAGGAGGCCTAATTCTATATCTGGTTTTATATTCCAAAGTTTCTATCCGGAGGTACAAGTGGCCAATTGCTACAAACGAACATGACAAGACGCCCTGTTAGAGGACTAAACAAATGAGCCTACCTTCATTTGGAGCACATTGCCACATACTAAATATATTGATTGACTCGTCGGGAACTCAGACTCAGTATAATATATCTCCAAATATAAACGTTACCGAATTATCAAAATATAGAAAACATAATCATGATCCTGAATGTACATCTCATTACAATTTCAAGAAAACGACGACAAACACTCCCCGAATCTTACATAAGAAAGTGTAAAGTACAAGTCTAATCACTTACGTTTCTCATCAAATTACTTTCAGCTCCACGAAGACTAGATGCTATCCAATGATCCACAAAATATGAGAACTGAATTGCAACCTCTATACAGTTGTATTTTCGTGATTAAGATATGGATACTTTTGATTACAGACAATCAGGAAATGCAGATGTTGGCTAGCGGAAGTTAGGATTATTTCAATAAAATGTTAGAAATCCGTAATAACTCTAAATGAATGGTCAATAATAATGAGGTAAACCTACATTCACTGACAATAGCAAAAATCGAGAACCAGAAGTGTGAATGCGAAGACAAGAAAGGGTTTTCGAATCAAACTTGAGGAATGCAACTATTAAGGTACCGAAAATTACGAACCAGGACAAAAAGTCGGATCCCAAGACATCAGTCGCTAACCCGCGTCAATACTACAAGGTCACGAACCCTAACAAACGGAAACATCGCAACGTCCAATATCCAATATAATTTCAACGGGCTAGTTTGAATTAACTGATTTCTTTTCGCTCGATTCTTGTTCTTTCGGCACGGTTCGAGGTGTCTTGTAGTGTCCAATGAATATGGGTCTAGCCACTAGACAGTCTAATCCTAGTCAGTTGGCAGCTGGTTATAAGTTTGTATGTCCGGTGATTTGAATGAAGACGTTTGTTTCAGCAAAGCAGGTTTGTCCATACCAGCAGCTATCACGTTACCAGGGCGGAGAGTAGTTAGTCATGATGTGAAGAATAACGAGGAGAAAAGTCTAATGCTAATAAGATTTCAGAACTGAGTAAATAAATTGATAATGAAGTTAATTAATTGTTAGTGAAGATTGTGAGAGAGGACCGAGATCTAAGCGAGGTAGAGGAAACAAAACGATTTTTATGGCCTGTTTGAACAGAAACGTGTTGGTGTGAGCAAGCGCCTATGAAAGCTGCAAGACATCTAAGGTTATAGGCATAAAAGAGGCTCTTTGAGAAGTCTCAGTTTTCCTGATGTTCGCCTCAAAAATGTTGGCTTTGAATCTGTAGGAACGTTACAGTTTCGAACATGGAGGCTCCACGACTACCATATATTCTTCGTTCAGCATCTATCACAACGAAACCTTTTTCCCCAGAAGTGACATGGAACGGAAGACCTATCAGATTCCTGGACCATTTTAGGGATTAACGTGTATCTTCTCCTTCTTGCTCTACAATTCTTTTTTGCACTTCCAACATTTATGCGTCTAAACCAAAAAACTTTCATATGCTTATATATTTTTTTGGAATAGAACAGCTTCAGCTATTCTTAATTTGCTTATATGCAAGTATATAACTGTAGGAAAAAATTGAAAATTCTTTTGTGTGTTGTTTTTTATGGCTATCACACGGCATTTGCACCCATTTATTTTCGAGCATTTCGCTTGGACACATAATCAAGAGTGAATTCGGACAAGAACTTACATTTTCATAATTATTTTGCGCGACAACTGTAAAAGGAGAAAGGTAGAACAGGAACAGGAAATAATTAACCGGTCATTACACATTTTTAATGCATTGTTATGTACCACATGACTCCTTAGCTGCCAGACAAAGCAAGCTATCGGAAGAGTGTCTATCAATGTCACTCACTTTGAGTTGAGACGTCTGGCTGGTCATGCCTTCGGGTCATCACAACTCTACTAATAGGGTTGAGATGTAGCTGCACGTAAATCTCAATATAAATAGTCTTGTTAGTCTTCCACATGGATGTTAACTTCCTTAGTTTTACTGGAAAAGTCCGAGCTGAAGGGCCCGACTCGAGCATCCACATCAGTTCGCTGTGCGGAATGCCAAGAAACTCAGTACTTTAGATCAACTAGTACGATTAGTTTACTCACTGCTTACTATCCCAACCAACAGGGTTCGGTCATTTTGTTTCAAAATTCGAAGGCGGATACTGCTACATAATCAGACAAACCATCACGTGCCTCAAGCAACGTAGGAGGAATGAGAAGAAAGTCGAAAGAGGTTAGAAATATATGCTCTCAGATAGATTTGAAAACCATAATCTTGACTGAAGTATGGTTGTCCCTCGACATTGCCGTAGGCAAAGACAAATGACACTCTCCCAATGCGATAGACTACATTAAACATCCTATTCACTGCCGTAACAACACACAGTACTTAACCAACCGATGTGACTGAATCATGCTAGCGCTGCTTCAACACGAATGATTGGAGGAATTCAGTGGCACCCCTCAGGTACTAGAGCCCGGAATGATAAATTGATTGATGTAATGCCACAACTACCATTCCCGGTATTTGATGAAACAATACTAGATGGGAGTTTTATTTCGTTCGACTACCATGAGTTGGTTCCAAAACCGACTTGCTACAGCCATCAAAAGTTCGGACAGACTGTGAATGTTTGTGACATCACAGGACAGACTAATGACACAAAACCCGCAAGCACTTTTTAACAAACTATCAACTCCTAATCGATAAAGTCTCTGTACGCACGCTAGTATGAAGTAGTGGCCATGGATCAGTCACGTTTAATATAGTCCAAAATGAAATATACAGAGGGGACAAGAACCCCTCTATTGTAATGCCTGCTTGAATAATTCCCAGCTAATTCATATTGCCTAGTATTCCCTGAACACAATACACTGGACAAGTTCCAAAGAATCAAAAACACGGTGAAACAGGAAAATATTATATTCCAGATAGCAAGGTTAAACGGAAATAAGAAGCCAATATCCAATATCTTTTTCACGCACTGCTGTAAACCAATTTGACTTCTTCGCGCTCGATTCTTGTTCTTTCGGTACGGTTCCAGGTGTTCGGTAATGTCCAATGGATGCTGGTCTAGCCACTCGACTCTAATTCTAGTCATTTGCCAGTTGGTTGTGAGTTTGTATGTCTCGGGATTTGAATGAAAACGTTTGTTTCAGGGCAGTAGGGTTTCTGGATTCCAGCAGCCGTCACATTACCAAACCGGAGATCAGTTAGTTGCAATGTGGAGAGTAATAAGGATAAAATTCTAATGATAATATGAATAAAATCTCAGAACTGAGTAATATATAGATGAATTTAGTTTGTTGATTGGTAGTGAAGATTGTAATACAGGACCGAAGTGTAAGCAAGGGAGAGGAAACAGAGATAATAGGAGAGATAGATTAACTGAGTGATCTGAGGAGATGGCAATGATAAAGACTAGCAGGTCTCAAGATATGCATCATGAACAGCTTGTCCAAGAGGCAGATGATAGTCCGTATGTGAGTACGTGATTATCAAGTCTCTTCTCAAAGCACTCCACTGAGGGGGCTGTAACTACCTCGGCTGGGAGAGCATTCCAAGTTGCGACGACTCGCAATGAGAAAAATTGTGCACGAAACTGAGTATTCGCTCTTTGATGTGCAATCTTTCGAGGATTGCCTCGAGGGGATGCTCACATTGGGATGGTTTGGCGTGTTTAATATGGTGTATGCCATAATCAGATCGCCTCTGATTCTCCTGGAGCTCAGTGGAAATAATCGCAAGAGCTGGAGTCTATCGTCGTAGTGTTTATTTTTCAACGCCATCACCCATTCAGTTGCTCGTCTCTGCACTTGATCGAAGAGATTTATGTCTCTTTTAAGCAGAGGGGGTGCGATGACGTTGTGAACTTCCAAGTGTGGGCACGCGTACGTCTTAAACAGGGTTAAAAATAATTTCGGGGTAATAGCACCAAGCTGTCTTCGCATAAAGTGAAGAGTCGCACTTGCCTTGGCTGCATCCCCTACATAGTTCGGACTCGTGTGGAGGCTTTCTGTGGTTATTAAACCAAGATCGCGCTCTTAGGAGACATTAAGGAGCGGACTTCCATTGAGAGTGTAGGTGGTTTGCGTCATATGAGGCAGGAAGTGCATGACGTGGCACTTCGGTTGGTTGAGTTTCAAACCGTTTTTCACTGCCCATTCCTCAATAGATGTTAGGTTCTTTTGAAGCTCTGCCGAATCCTCTTCGCTTCTAATGGACCTCCAAATCAATGCCGGTGAGCTAACTGAGCCTAGCAGGTCGTTAATAAATATCAGGAAGAGAAGTTGGCCTAGGATTGTACTCTGTGAAACTCCCGATGTGGATACTCGCCAACTCACATGCACTCTGTTTACCTTGGTGCGAAACTTTCTATTCTCAAGGCAGTTTCTGAGCCAAGATAGGAGTGGGTCAGTGAAGCCCATTTCCACAACCTTTTCGATTAGGCATGCGTGGGTCACTGTGTCAAAGGCCTTTGCAAAGTCGAGGAATATTACGTGTACCAGCATTTTACTGTCTAAACAAGATGTCCAACTGTCCCATGCGATGACGAGATTAGATGCACACGACAACGGCTGCTTCTGCAGAAGTGCACCAGGTGCTGAGACAAACCACCAAGTGCCTCTATGGCAACTTAAGGGGTAAGCTGTTATAAATCAGGAATATATGCTCTCAGATGGATCTGACGATCATAATCCTAACTGAAGCATGGCTATCCCCTGACGTTGCAGACGCAGAAGTGAGCTTGCCAGGCATGACACTCTTACGAAGCGATAGGGAACACCAAACTGGAGATGGAGTGGCGATATATTTATATAGCCACTTAGAAGCAGAGCGACTACACGACACCCAACTCACCGAAGTGACAGAATCATGTTAGCGTTTTTTCCACTCGAATGGCACGAAATACTTGATTGGAGGGATCTACCGACCTCCTTCGGTACTAAGGCCCAAAAAAGCAAACTGATTGAGGTAATACTGCAATTGCCACTCCTGGGGTTTGATCAAATACTCTTAGCTGGAGATTTTAATACCCCATCTTTAAATCTCAGCAATCAGAGTATAACTCCCACTGGTCGGTTCCAAAGACAACTTGGTTCAGCCATTAGAAGCTCTGGGCTGACTGAGCACGTATGCAATGCCACTAGGTGGACTAAGGAAGGGAAGTCCTCAAACCTGTATTATCTGTTAACTAATGACCAGCTCCTGGTTGAGGATGTTCACGTCGACGCACCATTAGGAAGTAATGACCATGGTACATTCTTGAGTAACATGGTGATAAACGAAAC